CAGTAGTCTTTTCTATGTCGAATCCTTTTACCTTCTTCTGTGGTGGAGATCGGACAGCTTCTACTCTGCCAGTGAGCTGGTCATTGTTCTTCAGCTGGGTAGTTCTTAATGATGAGAGTGTACTGCCATTATCACTTCGCAACTTAGTTTGCGATTTTGGAGTGTCGTTTATCGTCGCTCTTGGTGAGGGTGAGGCTGTATGTTCATGTTTCCGTTTCCCTTTTCTCTTAGCACTCTGTTTATTTCTGCAGCCAGCGATCTCCTGAAACGGTGATCCCTCTACTAGTGGGTTGCTGTTAGTCAACTCTGTCAGTTTCGAAACTATCTGTTGGCTACTGCTGAATTCCTCAATTGACTTGAATTTATCATACTTTAGTAACAATGCAATGAGATCTATAAGGAGGTTCATGTTCGTCTCCAACGACGTAATGTTTAACGCGAGATCTCGACAATATTTACACCGCGAACCACAATTTGAAGGTTCATCATCTGGTAGAAAATCTTGTGTAGGCGTGGCGAAATTCCCGGGATAATTTGCGTTGCGGGCCACCTCCGTCCTGTTTTGAACCTCTTCTGGCGTACTGCGTTCGTTAGATCCTCCCTGCCCGGCGTGAATCGACGCTGGTCCGCATGGAGTTGCTAGTGCACTATTTTCATGGCAAAATCCGGCACATTCCCCAACCGTGGGGCTAATGCAATTAATATTCTTTGAGGTCATCCCTTCGGTGCCGATGGCCGAGGGGTCTAGGCGTTCGCCTCGTGAGGCGATGGTCGGAGGTTCAACTCCCGCACACCACGCCCTTTTTTCATCCCGCGGGACTGATGGATCGTACACTTCTACATTTCCCATGTCTCAATACGCCAAAGTCAAGGATACAACAACGGCCGAAAGGTTGGCAGCAGAAGACAGACACAATCAAAAGAAGGCCTAAGGCTTTCAGATGTCAGGGAAGCTTTAGGCAACGGAAATCTAAGCGAATGCTTCGAGACTTCAGACAACAGAAACCTAGTCGAATTTAACGGCACTACAGTTAACAGAAATTTAAGCTAATGCTTTGAAGCAAAGGTACAGCTAAAGTCTAATTTCGAAGTGAGACTCAGCCTTTGTTCTGAGCGTTTCGTTTGCTGGAAGATTGGTCTTTTTAGGCTCGTATGCAGAACTGGTAGTGTCGAAGTCCACGTTCTGCAAAGGTGGTGTCGTAAATTGATGACGATGCGAATATTGCTGTCTGTGAATCAATTTTCTAAAATCCGTTTGACTGCAGGAGCATCCAGACTGCGGAAATCTCGAAGAATATTAGCCCCTCGGAGGACGAAAATTGAAACCAAATTCGAAACGCGCGCGATGGTTTGACCGATGGAAGCGAAAAGACGAGTCCCAGGAAGCAGTCGTAAGGAAGTAGACAAGATCGCTGGAATAAGAGCTTTATTAGTATCTGCTATTGTCTCTGATGATGGGTTCGAGCAGGAATCCGAAACGCCAGGCGAATAAAGCTCATGCTCCAGCGATCGAGCCTACTTCTTCACGAGAGGTAGGGCCTGTTGAATGATATGGCAGCGAATATGCTTACTTATAAATGTAAGTAGACAGTATTTTGTACGGTTTCCTAGAAAAAAATGTTCAATAGGCCCGCAAACAGACAGTTGAACGTTCACTGAGGGGAGGAACTTGTGTAGATTGCGGAGGTAAGACAACAAAAATAAAAACGAATCTGATGACCTTCGATTATGCAGCTTCCTTCAGGCCTAAAACACCCGATAGGAATCCTGAGAAAACTATACTCAGGCAGAACATCAGAGCTTCGAGTTTGTTTCCTGACCCTCACTTCGATGACTCATTACAGTAGGCAACAAGGTAGCCTCTCAGAACTTAAGCAAATGCTCGTTCAATTCCTGGGAAATTAGGTAGGTGTCCCAGATTACCGGACTAAGAACATATGTAGTCTGCACCGCAACATCCTCAATGCGTCTCGATATCCCCCAAAGGTAAAAATTACGCGAAATCTCTCGTCCGCTGCGCATTGTGTGGGAGAAAGTCATTTAACAGGAAGTCCAGTACCTGTTAGATTTTACTGTGTGTGGTTATCTGATGTTAGTAAGTAGCGGACTTGATGTTTCTGGGAAATCCACTTGCGTGCATATTAAGCGAGATGTCGCTAAAGTGGGTGACGACAAGCATGCTCATAACGTAAGCGTGCGGTTGACCTGGAGGGGTGGATTGTCGCTCGAGTTGATGAGCTGCTATTTCGGGACTCTTTAACAAGCCATGGTAGCTCAAAAGGTCATCAAAGTAATTACGGAAAAGGAATTCTGGACGGGATCGGTCATACTTCCTCTTCCCCCCTCTCTCTCTGGCAAGATCAGGGTCAATAAACTGACTACGGGATCAGACGTAGTCTCGCATGCAACATGAGTGTAGGATTCCAGTTTAGGTCATGCTCGGCCACAGGGCCCGAATCGGATGTCATGAATGTGTCTAGCCATTCATAACTACCGGCAAGGTATCCGTCGTCGGCCAGACTCATCTGCAAACGGTAAGGATCCGCAAAAATGTTCATATCTGTCAACAAGATTAGAAAGGTTGGAACTAATTTCCACGAGGAAGGATGAAACGACAAAGACGAGATATTGAGCCCAAGAACTTTAACTTAAAATATCGATCAGAAAACGAAACCTGAACTTAAACCAAGGGAAGGGCAGGGGTATAACGGGGATGTCTGAAGACAGTTTGGAATACGATGTTCTTTAAGAACACCAACAAACACCGTACACTATTACAGTACCGAATAGGCCTACTCACAGAGGATGAAAAGCAGAAGGACAAATATGAATTTATGTGGCATATTTCTTCGTCTTTAAAAACCGCTTTATGTCCAGCGTCAAAATTTCATCTGGTTAAGAGCTAAACCTGCTGTATATTTGAGGACCACTCAGAGTGTAGTTCGTCAAATCGGTCGAAAACACTCTGCGAGGGCGCTAGTGGAATGGAAAAGAAATTGTGTGACCGACAAGAAAAGAGGTCCGTAGGGCCACGAGTACACATTCCAGGACTGGGTAGCATGTGCCTTCTGTGAGGAGTCTTAGTCAACTTGATCTTCGATCAGAATGGAACTGTACGAAGCCCACCTGCGTTAGCTCTACCAATTAAAAACCCTTACGGGACATTCATATTGACCCAACTGTGAAAAGTTCGGCCTCTCTGTGGGATTCGAACCCACGCAGTAAAGGGAAGGCCTTAGTACAGCTAACGTTCTAACCACTTGAGCTACGAGGCCCCGACGGACAACGCGAGTTTAATCACATTTATTTCAAGTTACCAACCCAACCTACTGAAACGTCTGGAATCCACCAAATCTGATACAGTAAGTTGACTGCACAGGCAGGATTTCCTAAGTAATTCACCTAGAATCCACCAGATGACTACCAGGCTCACGTACTTCATAGATATTTTGGCAAATTTTGAATAATTCATATTGACCCGAGTTTTTCAAAATTAGGTCACTATGAATTATTCAAAATCTGTCAAAACACCCTGCGGAACAGTTTTGTCACCACAAAATGCCCTTTTCAAGGTTTTTAATTGGGAGTGCGAAAGAGATACGTTGCCTTGCGTCACAATTCCATAAACGTCAATCCCTCCCCTCTCCATCCCCTCGCTACAAAGGCGGCTGGCAACCATAATAAAAATGATTAAATAATCTTTTTCGTTCTGTAAATGAGTAATGCGTCAGGAATGTCAGAGCTTATCACATATTGTAGTTAACATAGGGGATGCTGGAAATAGAACATGGCCTGTGTTTGTGAGATGGGAGGGATAGTGTTAAAAGAAACCTCATCACAGTGCAGAATGCGGATATGGTTTGAATATGTGCACACAAAGAGAGCGGGCGGGGAATCGAGAGCCCCAATGGTAAAACAACACTGAGCGAAGAGGACTTCACCAGGGCAACACCCGGAGGAACCATTTGTAGGCTGAACTACTGCGACAGGCCGGAGCCAGTCCCACCAGCTCCCACTGAAGTGTGCTGGCTCGCTGGCACTGCACAAGAGCCGCATCAGTCCAGTGCTGACAGTTGAGTGGCTGTTCCCCCATAGAAACCACACAAAGCAACATTCTGTCTCGCAGGGGCCAGTAGAAGTCTTCGCCCTGGCAGGCAGTGAACGGCAATACTTTGATCATTTCGATACCGAAGGCCTTCGAGGTGCTGTTATAGAGATAGGCCAGCGTGCATTGAGTCCACACGGGACGCGCGGCTGTGGCATTCGCCAGTCTCTCATGAACGGCTTTTGCGGGACAAATGTTCATGTTCATGTCTGCGGGTTTGACAGGCAAAGAGAGGCGGGTTTGAGGAGCCGCCTTGGGGTGGCGTAGCCAGCCAATGGCTGGCAGTCGTGCTGCCTCTAGATTACAGGCCTTTCGCAAACCGTTGGCTCTCAGGCAATTCACCAGACAGCGCTCCGAGGTGATGAGGGGAAATGTGTCATTCTCAACGTAGACACCGAGGCAGTAGGAGGCACCTGATCGCATATTGAAGTAGACGAACCAGGGGAACTTTCCATCCGGTGCATAGCCGCAAATTGCGGCTGGAGGGCTCGGGGGTGGTGGCGGTGGTCGATTGCCGACGGCCACCTCAATCCACGTGACAGTCTCTTCGGTTGTTGTGCTGACAATGACAGGCCAGTTAAGCTGGCCTGTCGCGCAGTTGCCTCCATGAATGGCAAATCCGAGTCTGTTTTTGGTGCTATTTCCAGTCCCGTTGCAGACTAGTACTGCGCCGAGGTTACGTTGAAGGCAGATTTCCTGCGGGACACAGATGAGACCGGAGAGATTGAAACCAGTAAAGTGTGGGTAAGTTTGTTGGCACACGGATAAACTAGTGGGCTGCACCCTTTGGGGAGCAAACCGTTCGCCATCCAGGGGACGCTGACACCGCACTGGAGTGATTAGTTCACATGTGGACTCTGCTGTCTCGTTGGTTGTCCTCGTGAAGTTAAAACCCTCAAGAGAGGAGAATGGTGAGGTTACATTGTTAGTGTGGTTCGTCCCCTGTAATGACGTGATGTTACTGGACGATGTACCAATTTTGAGGAGACTGAAGCCCTGTGGGATGCTGCTAGAGACATTTGCCAGGTTGGGTTGGTCCTGCCTCGAATCAACTCTAAAGCAAAGGAGAAAAAGGGTAATGTCATTAGCTGAGCCTCACAATGTCAACTACCCTTACAGATGCACTCATCCGAAGCATTCCCAAAAATAGATCAGTAAGTAGGAGACACTTAAATAGTAGAAGATGCTTAAATGGGCAAAAGTTCGATAAGGCGCGCTGACTGAATCGGCTCAGCGGAGGACCTCTCACGGAATGTCCGTACACTATCTTGGCGGGATTACCTTGGTTTTATAAATTACCACATGTGCTCGACGGATGGCGCCCTAAATGAGAGAATAGCGGTAGGCCTAGCTGAAAAGGCGGAGGTCTGCCGCTGGACTCGGTATAGACAGGGGGGCTCTGGAAATATGCCGAAGCCTAATTACGGTTACGCCGTTTGTCTGTCTGCAGGACGTTTACTAATTATTCGTACCCACTGGATTGCTTTCCAATTTAGTGGTCTACGTAGACTTATCATGAGCCGTTGGAGAAATGATGACAAACCCTTAAACTGATGAGTAAGTCGTCCTAGCTTGAAAAAAACGTCAAGGCCAAATTCAGAGTAAGATTTTACAGGATGAAGTGCGTTCAACAACAGTGTCAGAGGAGATAGTGGACAGTAACCCGGAAAATGGATTGAAAGGACATTTTTGTCCAGAACCCAAGACTAATGTTTCCTAGGTGAAACAAATGGCTGAAGAAGTGCATGAAAAATATCGTCCGGAAGTGACTTTGACGTTTTTATACACCGATTTTAATTTCTATAAAATACGAAATAGGAAGAAGAAACTACTGTTGGTTTTAGGTGTTTGAATATCCCGTTTACCTTTGTGTGATTTGCCACCGTTACGCAGTACCGTTACCAATAAAGCACTGCTGAAGTTGCAATGAGATCCCGGAAAGTGTGTTAAGCAGGCAGCCAAGTAAAAAGTAAAGGATCTATCATTCAAGAAGACCCGAGTTCAACCTGAAAATCCTACAGCGACGAAGATCACCAGACAGCCATCCTAAATGGGAAATGCCTGACGGTCGGACCCTTGTGTTGAGCTTATTGCCAGTAGGTTCATCTGAAAGGGTCGGTTGAGAAACACACTCCTGCTTTCTGCACCTTGTTCCAGATAAATATGTCAACCAACATCTGCCCTGGCCATCGTTGAAGTACTCACAATCCACTCTTCACAAAAGTCCCAGCCCCAGTCAGCATCCGACTTTAAAAGGACAGAGTCATGAGAACAGAAATGAAGCCTGTAGGGCAAAATGATCGGTCATGTGATGTGAGCCTCAATGTCTGAGCTGCCGCGGCAGGGTCAATAAATCGAAACTTCTTAATTATGATGGGCTCAGCAAAGAGCATTCGAAAAAGCCCTGCTCTGGCATGGTTTAGATGTAGGAATATTTTTTTGAAATTCGAACCGGACCCAGCGTCAATCGCAATGCAGTCGCACGTAGCCTTTTCTGCTAATACATCCATAGGTCTTTCGAGGAAGTTATTGGATAATATATACTTCTGAAATCGTAGGGATTGCTCAGAAACCTGATCCGATGAACTGTTAAAACGGCTCAGCATGTGCACTTACAAAGTTATCGCTAATTAAATTCCTAGCTTGAATGGGGAATTTCCCGAAAATTTTTTTCAGAATGTCAGCATAATCTATGTCGCATCCACTAGTGCTCAATCTACCGCGACTACGAGAACAGACTGTCAGTAAACATGCCAGTCTTGCGAGAGGCCTGTCTCCATATCAGATAAGTAGGAGATGATAAGTGCTGGTGGATACAGGGATCTCACAGATCCTGCGCATGAATGAACAAGATCAAGGACCAACCATTTGCCCAAATGACACTTTGTGAGGCGTTGCAGACCTCAGGTTATTGGCAAATTATCCTGCTCCAATAGCCATCGGTACTGTCCGAAATCGTCTTGGAAATTGTGGACTGACTTTGACTAATTTTCAGTTTGAACAGATAGCAATTCCCTAAGTTGTGCTGCTGAAACACCGTTGACTCAGGTAAATGCGAATTTCCCCGACTGTGCGCGTCTTTTGTGTATGGCAAAAATTACCCATTGGGGAGCGCAAGGGTATTTGAGGTGTTAGTTCGATGAAAATGTGACTTTCCGTAATATACCTAATGGTAGAGAATTTGTACAGTCAATCTTTAAGATGTTGAAGTCCACGGACACGCTCTTTTCCCGTAATTAGCAGATGGAGTAAACCTGCAGTAATTAAACCCGGAAAAGCAACAAAATGCTCAATTACTTTTGGTCCTTAAAATATCAACAACAGTGAACGTTTACCGATAGGATTCAGATGAATTTCCCGGTATCACGGTGAGGTTTCCGGGGGATAGGTGTTTGCCACACGAAGCCGGGACAATTACCCACCAGGATGAATTGGCTCCCGATATGAGGACGCCATAGCAGAGGAAACACTGGTGGCTGTAGACCCCCGTAACCCAAGGATGGGTGTATGTGGCGCCATGACAGGTGCCCGGTGCAGACGGCGCAAGCAGCTCTGTGGACTTGTCCATCGCAGACTTGATGCTCTCGAAGAGGGCGCAAATGATGACGCTTTCGTCCATCTGGTCGGGACACTCCACTTTGCCATTACAGAGTGCGCTGAGGGTGAGGCAGGTCTGTGAATAACGGCAGAGGTAGGGCTTCTGCGGCGGACAGAGACGATTGGTCAGGCCCCACTCTATGAACACTGACATTGTCAAGTTGGCATGAATGCCTAGTTTGTCGATCACCACGTCCCTAGTGTCGCTGTAATTGCTGTTCTGCTGATAAGTAACTGATGTGGCTGGGTGGTGCTGCCTCTTCCAGCGGCATGCTGCAGCTGACTCGTCCACCGACTTAAAGCAGTCCTGTTTTCCATCACAGATGAACCGGTAGTCCAAACACTTTGCATCGTAGGGGCACGAAAAAGTGTCTGGAGGACAACCTCCCACGGGAGCTTTTTGATTTGAGCAGAGTTCTGGCGCCTCGTCCTCCCCTCGTGGGCAGTCGATTTGGCCATCACAAACCCAGGCATTTGATATACAGACAAAAGTGGTTTGGCCATTTTCACGGTTTCGGACTTTGCACTGAAATTCGCCCGGATGGCAGGGATGAAGGGCGATGTTGAGAAGCGTGCTGGCAGAGCTTGCGTTTGGATCGGTGCCAGCAGGCCAAGCAGCTTGTGTACTGTTCAACCAGCTGCCCAAACTATGCATGGTCTCTATAACCGTAGCTGTCTGTTTGGTGCAGGTGGCAAGGGATTCGTCTTCGCCACTAGGGCAGTCTTCAACACCATTGCAGATTTGGCTAGTTGCCAGACACTGGGTTTCACTCAACTGGCCGTAGAATACTGGCCGACAGGCCCAGAGGTGAGAATGCAAGGAGTCCGTGATGGTGTCGTGAAAAGGGTCGAGGCAGATCTGTCTGCCCGGACGCTGGAGACCAGTCTGCTGCGTAGAGGGCACAACAATGCCGAAGTGAAGTCGAATGTAGACGGGACCAGTACCAGGGGGACACTGGAGACGGATATAGACACGGTGAGCCAACACACTAATTTCAAAATTTCGTAAATGCTTACAATAAGCCACGGAATCCAGGCCGTCCGGCTGGTCGGCGTTCCCAATAGTAATGCGCTTATTATTTGGACACTGATCGCCACCTGCATCCAGCCTTATCTCCTCAACAAAAATTCGAAAGAGCGGGGGACGCCCGTTTTCGTCGGCCTCTTTACGGTCAGCAAAGGGCGCCAGGATCCACTCTCGGTATGTGAGTGGAGCAGGCTCCAGTGATGAGTTAAAAGTCAGAGTTCCCACAGGGTCAGTTAGGATAACTGGCTCGGTATCCCGTGGACGCCAGTAGGCATTGCAGACAGCCAACGCCAGTAGGAGCAGTAAACAGGCATCAAATGAATGCTGCATGACTGACGATTTCTGAGGCAGGGACCAAAAAATTGCAATTAAAATCACGACTTTGTGATGGTAAGTACGCAGGCTCCGCAGGAGCACGCGACAGCATTTAAACCGCGAGAAGGGGAACGTGAGCACGCGCGCACGCAGTAGCTGCCAATCGACTGGTGGTTGATTATGTTTACAGACTGACCGAACCAATCAGTATGACGACTGCTTGATCAGCTTTACTAACTTGGTAGCTGTCGAATGCACGCTTGAGTAACCAATTCCGTATTCCCAAGTCAGGCCCAGTCACTGTTGCAAGCATTAATTTAGGGCAGTATGCTGGATATCGCAGAGATGCTCTGGCAAGAGTAACTGATAGTCTAAAAATTCCTCATCCCGTTCTATTCCTTCAGAGGCAAACAGTTATATGGAAGGCTAGAAGAGCTCTGTGCGGATCTGTGCGTTAAGGAACAAGTTTTATTTAGCAGGGTAGACTGTCTACTGTTGAGCCTACTGCATTCTGAAGGGGTCATTTGAAAACGGCCAAGGCAATATTGATAGTAGTGCACAAGTTAGCCCCGATGGCAAGATCCTGTCGGCCTACGAAGTAACAGCTATATAGTTAGAAGTTAAAGTAGGAAAGTGACCATAATTTGCAGAATTCTGGCGGGTCTGACCGAGCAACGTCCAAAATCAAATTTGACAAGCCAGGGAAGACAGACGTTAACGGTTAGGCAAATCTGAACACAAAATCGTTGCAGTCGCAAGAAACACCGGATGAAAGAACAGCTTACTTGATGAACATTTATCGTGTATTAACAGACTCTCTGAATTATTCAAAGACACGGTAATTCAGCGACCTTATTTTCGGAGGCCAGCAGACAGATTTTGAGTGGCATCGGACTGCCTAAAAGGCCGGTTTGATTTAGAAGAGGGACAAAAATTAAGTGTTTCAATCGAAAACCGATTTTTAGTGAGAATAATGAATTCGGTATTATGCTTTGCTGGTAAACTGTCCTTTCAGTTTTTTGAAGTAAGCCACTCAGCCGTTAACGGTTTCCTTCACAAGCAACGTCTCGTTCAGACACTGTGAAGGGAGCGCGCTGCGATTTTTCAATCAGTGGAATAGAGAACGAAAGATAAATTGAATCCAGAGATCCCGATTTACCAAAAGCCCAAACAAAAGTTGGGAATGTTGACTTAGAGTGGGCAGCTGCCGCGCCATTGTAGTGGCGACAAGGAATGACCGTACTTTGGATATAAGGGGTTGAGACCTTTCTCATGCCTTAGCACTAACCATCAAGGGGACATTTAAGAATATGCAGTCCACTTCGCGTACTATTCTTCCGTATCAGGGAAGCGATGCATCGGAACGCAGGAACTACCGCGGTTGCTGTGACATTAGTGTAAACTGGGTGTCAGTACGTTTCTTCTATTCGGTTGCATGACACCTCTCAGTATGGACGGTTTCAAAAACCGTCTGGAACTAGTATATTGTTGGCTTTTGGGCTCAAGTGTGTGATAACCCATGCAAATATGCAATCTGCAATATTGTTTCCTTTCTTAAGGCCGGTTAAAATATTCTCACGTTGGAGACCTTTTCTTCGCGTTCACTTCCTTGTCATTGCTTCCTCAACAAAACCTAAGAAACTTAAGCAAATAAGATGTAAAGTGAGGGCAGCAGAAACCACTCTGTTTGGCTGAACATTGACAACTTCAGAGCGAAGAATCTTTGTTCTGTGAATAAGTCGTCTGTTAAATCCCTTAGCAACACTCGCAAAGATTCTGGCTCAACAACTCGCATTCGCAACACTTCATGTTGCTGTTGATAAGTAATTTGCGAATAACATAAATAGGCGATAATGGTATGCCCGCCCACCTTGCATTTCTGACAGTTTGACACAATCCATTAACACCTACGGTCGGACCATAATGCTCGGACTGTCGAACAGACCACCAGCACACAATCTAGTCGAGGTTTTTCAACCTCCAAAATATCCCGCCAGTGTAGTAACTCGGTGGTCAAGAAGGCGGGACTGAATTATGTGGGCGTCTAAACGGGGCATGGGAATAGGAACGTCCCGCCCAAATAGTAAAGATGGACCTGCGTATAATTCTAGAAGGGTCAAAATAGTCCTGTGTCCTAACCCTAAACAATAACCCTAATACAAAACTAAATCGTTGCCCTAATCTTGACCTTTATCCCACCCTAAACCTTCACTCTTAATCCTGGCTTACGTTACCGTTAACTCCAATTCTAACCTTAAACCTAGTCCTTGGCCTAACTCTAACCCTAATTTCACTTAAAGTTGGCTCACAGCCGCCTGTGTTTCAGGCGGTTCCTGATCTTATGCCCTGTTTATACGTCCACATATGTCAGTACAACCGTAATCAATTTGACGTTTGACTTGAGGCTAATCCACCATTTAGTGTCACGGTTCCCGAGGCGAAGGCGTCAAATCAATATTCCCTGAAAGACTTTGATTGGGCGCTGCCTCTTGCCAAATTAAACGACAAGTGAGTCTGGTTGGGAAGCTAGCCGACACTGTGAGTCATAGACGGGGGATGACAGTTGGGCCGTTGCAAGTGAAGACCTCTACCACCTGTCCCAGGAAGTGGGCACAGCACTGGTGTTGTGCGCGTGAATTAGTTTACTACTGTGACAGACTTGCGTCGTACCCACTGCATCCTCTCTTCCTTCATTCACTGAGGACGAAATAGAGTCAGGACCAGAGGGTATGAACTTGGAAGCAGTGGCTGGCTCGTGTGCG